ACAACTGGAGACCATACATTCTCTCCTAGGACACAGGCCCACCCATCTATCCATTCCCCCCTCAAGCCTAGGCAGCTAGTGCCAGTACATGGAGTTCTCAACTGCAGAAGGTACGGCAGCTGAGTCTGGACATATTCTAAAAGCAGTCTGCATGTGCAATGATGGTGCACCATGTACATGAGCCACTGCAGAAATGTCACTTCTTCACAGCACCTTCTAAACCCATGAGCACTCCCAACTGGAAGGGCAAAGGTTTCAAATACATGGGTACACCATGACCTGCACATTCCCCTCCAAGCCATTCATCTCCCTGACTTGGAAACAAAGGGTCGCTAGCTCAAAGTCATGGACCTCCACATCACTGTGGGTCTACCTACACAAGATGAACTCAATGGCTCAAGAGGACAGCCTCGACAGCCCTCTGCGGTAAAGAATTTAATGGACTCAGCATCCTAAAAAAAAAATTCTTCTCATTTCTGTCTTAAGTTGGCAACTCCTTACTCTAAGATTATGTCCTTTGGTCTTAGACACTCCCAAAAGGGGAAACAACCTCTCTCTAATTCTACCATGCCAAATCCCCTAAGGATCTTAGGTGTTTCAATTATGTCTCGTCTCCACCTTATAAACTCCAATGACTGCAAGCCGAGCCTACTCAACCTCTCTTCAGGCTGAAGGCTGATCCAGCTCAATGTCTGATCAACAGTAACATTCAGGAAGCTCATTGTAAGGATTCAAAACAATGGTAATGTCATTGAATATCAGAATAAGTGGTTAGATTCTTGCTGAATATAGCCATTGTTTGGCACTTGTGTGGTACAAATGTTACTTGCCATTTATCAGTGCATGTTTGAATGTTGCCCGATTTTGCTGCACATAGACATGGACTGCTTCAGTACTTAAGAAGTTATGCATGAATATTGTACAATCATTAGCAAACATTCCCACTTCAGGCCTTACAATGGAGGGAAAGTCATTGGTGCAGCAGCTGAAAATGGTTGGGTTTAGGGCACTACCTTGAGGAACTTCTGCAGCAATGTCATGGCGCTGAGATGACTGACCTACAACAACCACAGCCATTGTCTTCTGTGCCAGGTATGACTCCAGCTAGCGGATTATACTCCCTCTAGGTTCCCATTGATTCCAGATTTGCTAGGGCTTCTTGATACCACACTAGATAGAGTGGACAGCCAGAGACTTTTTCCTAGGGTGGAGGTAGCTATTACGAGGGGGCATAGTTTTAAAGTGAGTAGAGGTGGATATAGGGGAGACGTCAGAGGTGGGTTCTTTATTCAGAGAGTGGTCGGGACGTGGAATGCATTGCCAGAGAGGGTAGTGGAGTCGGCCTCATTAGGGGCATTTAAGCAGCTATGAGATAGGCATATGGATGATAGTATAAGGTAGGGGTGGAGGTCAGATAGACCTTAGGTTTAGGGTAAAAGTTCGGCACAACATCGTGGGCCGAAGGGCCTGTACTGTGCTGTACTGTTCTATGTTCTATGTTCTAAGTCAAATGCAACCTTGATGTCAAGAGCAGACACTCTTGCCTCACCTCTGGCATTCAGCTCTTTTGTCCACGTTTGGTCACGACTGTAATGAAATAAAAAGTTAAGACGACCAGTAGAACCCAAACTGAGTACTGATGAGCAGTTCATTGCCATGTAAATGCTGCTTGGTAGAGCTGTCAACAGCACCTTCCATCACTTTGTTCACAATTGAGAGTCAACTAACGGGGCAGTAATTGGCCGGGCTCAATTTACTCTGCTTGTGTGAGCTGGACAATTTCCGGGACAAATTTCCACATTGTTGGACAGATGCCAGTGTTGTAGCTGTACTGGAACAACTCAGTGATGCATTCAACTAGTACTGGAGTATGTGATTACGTTATTAAAACCAAAAATGGAAATTGCCGGAAAAACTCAGCAGGCCTGGCAGCATCCGTAGAGGGAAAGCATAGAATTAATAATTCGGGTCCAGTGATCTTTCTTCAGAACTCCAGAAAGGTCACTTGACCCAAAGTGGTAACTCTGCTTTCTCCCTACAGATGCTGCCAGACCTGCTGAGTTTTTCCAGCAATTTCTGTTTTTATTTGATTTGTAACATCTGCAGTTCTTTAGGGTATTTTTTGTTTCCAGTATCACTTCGGACTGCAGTCAGTGCCCATAATCTTTCCCGTAATATAGTATCCTTACTCATGCTAGTATATAGAACAGCATTGAACAAATACAATAATTTTACTGTTTCTGCACTCATGTTTTCTTTATAAAAGCTGTACATACGTTTTTAATAATACTCCAACCTCTACTGCACCAAGCACTGAAGCAACACGTGGGCGACACACAGCTCTAGAGCCTTGCAGCTTCGAAAGGCCAAGCCTTTTTCATTTCATCTCATTGTGAATTAGTTATCTCCATCTGAGAGTATCAACCAAGAATTATAATTGACTACAAAAGCCAGAATTAAATTTCAGCTATTAAAAAGCAGCGGCGTATCAGTCAAACAACATTCACCTTGTAGCAAGAATACTGTAAAAGCAGCGGAGGTTGAAAGATGCAGTGTATGGGCTGAATATAGCTTTCATCAAGTCTGACTGAACACTAATGTGAATAATCAGAGCAGCAAATAACTTCAAACTGGCTGCAAGTATTTCACCAAGTTGAATGTAAACAGAGCGTACACAGCAGCAAACACTGAGACTAGATGCTTTTCTGGAATCACCAGTCTAGGTTGACAGTGGCATAGTGCTAACATCACTAGATTAACAATCTAAAAACACAGACTTTGCTCTAAGGATATTGGTTCAAATCCCACCACAACTATTGAAATTTAAATTAAATTTATAAGTAAATCTGGAATTAAAAGCTAGTCTCATTGTTGGTGACCACTAGATTATAGTCATCTGCTGTGAACCCTATCTGCTTCACTAATGCCCTTTAGGGAAGGAAACCTGGCCGAGTCTATACTTGACACCAGTCCCACAGCAATGTGGTTGCCTCTTAACTGTCCTCTGAAGTAATATAGTAAGTCATTCAGTTCAAGGATAATTAGGGAGGAACAATTAAGTGCCAGCTTTGCCAACAATACCCTCATTCTATGAAAGCATTAGATAGAAAGGTCTTTAACTGTGCACCTCCAATTGACTCACCCAGATAAGGGTCCCTCCCAATCCATTTCCATACCTAAGAAACTAAACTACTCAAAAATGAAGAAAACAGCAGTGCTTCTTGGGTTTTTCTCTTGGGTGTATTGTATCAGTGTTCTGCAAATTAACTTTTAGTTTGTGGTAAATCCAGGGAAATCATGAAAGGTTGGATCCCCGCCCAGTGCACCTCATTTATAAATCAAACCAAGGATTATCTTCACTACCTTTGATATTCACTTAGATCTGCAACAGGATCCACAGTTCTGTTCCACGAACCAGTTTGTTGTTCAATGTATCTAGCCTTGAACCACCAATTTCCATATGATTAGCCTCCTGCTTTAGGTGACAAAAAACTGTGAGATAGATGACAGGGGCTTTTCCTCTCTACAATGCTGCCAACTCCAGCCAAAACATGAATGTTTCGATGAAATAAGATAACCATGCTGTCAAACATGCCATCTTTCAGATGAGTGAAATCCAAGTTCAGTACATTCTCTGAGACTGACTGAAAGAAAGATCGTGGGCTACTTGAAGAGGACGCAGGACATTCTCTGCTTGTCTTTGTCAGTATTTATTCCGTCACCAACTTTACTCAAAAACAGATTAAGTGGTCATGATATAAATCACTGTTTGGGATCTTGCTGCACACAACATGGTCGTTAGACCATTGCCCTACCTCAGAAATAGACTTGAAAGTATGATTCTGCTCTCTCTCTGTGTCCCCCCCTCCCCGCCACTGATGATGCCCCGACCTGCTGAATTTGTCCAGCAATTTGTTTCATTTCAGAATTTTTATTCAATTTGCTGTACAACACTTGGGATGTACTAAGGTCTTGAAAGGGTGTATTATTAACCTAGGTTCTTTCTTTGCATAGATTGTTGAAGCACATATCTCCTTTGCGGTAGAGATAAATGGTAACATTGTCAGTCTTACCAGGATATAGAGCTGCCCTCTCTAAAGAGAGATGATTGGTTGTAGTTTAACCTATGGGTCACCATGCCTCAGGCAAGATGAGAGGTTAAAAAGGAGAGTCGGTCATGGTAACCTCAGCTGGTGCAGGAATCGAACACATACTGTTGGTTTCACTGTGTCACAAACTGGTCATCCAGTCAGATGAGGTAAACAGCCCCCCTGTTGCAGAGACAGTCACTAAAGATAGGATTGGCTAGGACAATTTTTCATTGGAGCATAGGAGGCTAACCTTGTAAGGTCTATAAAATCATGAGGGGCATAGATAAGGTGAATGGCAGGTGTCTTTTCCCTAGGGTGGGGGATTTTGAGACTAGAGGGCATATTTTTAAGGTGAGAGGAGAAAGATTTAAAAACAGACATGAGGGAAACTTATTTTACACAAAGAGTGGTTCATGTATGGAATGAACTTCCAGAGAAAGTGATGGATGCGGGTACAATTACAATGTTTAAAAGACATTTAGGTAAGTACATGAATAAGAAATATTGAGGGATTTGGGCCAAGCGCAGGCAGGTGGGAATAGTTTAGTTTGGGATTATGGTCTGCATGGACAGGTTGGACTGAAGGCTGTTTCCATGCTGCGTGACTCTACAACTCTAAAACTGGGTGGGTGGGGACGGCAGTGCAAGGTAGAAGGAAAGACGAGAATATTCACAAAAGAAAGTTGCCTTAAATTGCACAAAAGCAAAAGTTTTACAGGCACCAATTTTGGCTAGATCTAAAAAGAAAGCCAGAGTCCCATTTTATTGATTTAATTCAAGACTGTTAACTGTCCCCTTCATTTTTGTAACAAAAGTAAACAAGGTGCTAAAGCCCATTGTACAGAACACTAAGAAAGTTGAAAGAAATGGGAGAGAGAGAACATTTCAATTAAGTAGTGATTAAGTTACCTCAAGTTTAGATTTGGAGATATTTGCAAATCAGAAGGTCAAGAGAGCCAGAGGTAAGAGGTCCTGGAGCTGAAAAACATGTAATGATTCTTGATATCGTGAAGTTTGCCTAGAAATTTGCTTTTAGACTTTTACTTTAAACAGTAAATAACCTAAAGCACCACATTTCTTAAGTTGTTCACACCTGCTGCTGTACTGTAATATATACTGAATACCAAATGACTGCAGAGGTTCACACAGCACTTGCTAAAGTGACAGCCTTGTAAATGACTCGCACAATTTAAGGTAACATCTGTGAGCAAAACCAGGAGAGTCGGACTTCAGGCCAACACAACGGTTTCACAATTCTGTCATCTAAATGGCAGTCCAGGGTTTGAAAGTTTAAACTAACACCTGGACTGTTGAGAAACATGCTGATTGGCTGCATACTATTCTGGGGACTACATTAGATGAATGATGTGAAGATTTTGGAAAGAATGCCATGGGGATGGTTCCAGAGATGAGGAATTTTGGTTCTGAAGACTGATCAGGGAAGTATTCCTTGGAGCAGTGAAGGCCAACAGGAGATTTGATAGGGGTATTCAAAACCATGAGGGATCCAGACAGAGTAGATGGGGAGAAATTGATCCCATGGGTGGGAGAATCAAGAACAGAAATGCAAGAGGTAATTGGCAAGAGGTTAAAAAAAACACGATGAGGAAAAAAAAACTTTTTTGCAGCAAATTGTGTGGAATGCAGAGCCTTAAGGTGCGGTGGAGACAGCTTCAATCAATGAATTCCAAAAGGGCTTGGACTGTTATTAGAAAAGGAAGATTGAGCAGAGTTCCAGGGAGAAGGCTGGAGAATGGCACATGTATTGCTCATTCACATATGACTGGCTGAATGGCCTCCTACAGCACTAGCAAATCTGGCATTCTGTTTGGATGAAGCAAACAGAATGATGTCAGGACTGCTGCCTGGAATCTAATCACTGATGGGAGAACCAGCAAAGTGCACAGGCAAAACCAATTCTGCAAAATCAGAAGGAAAATGGTCAGAATGTCATTTTCATTTGGCCATTCCACACCAAATTCTAACCTCATCCTCAAGTTCTAAAAGCAGTGATTCAAACAGGCCTAATAGTTCCACAGATAGCAATTGGCCTCCAAGTGGTCAGAAATCTTTTAATAAGGTTAACAGCTAAGAGCTAAGCATGTAAACTTAAAGCAAATGGGATTGAAGTTTTTGTAGTGAAATGGATAGAGTATTGATTGGCACACAGGAAACAAAGGGTGGGAATAAAACAGGTCTTTTCCCAAGTGGCAGGCAGTGACAAGTGGGGTACCGCTTGGATCCCAGCTACTCGCAATATATTTTAATGATTTAGATAAGGAAGCTAGGTGTCATATCTTCAATTTGCAGATGCCACAACAATGGATGAAAAGGTGAACTGTGAGGAGGATACAGAGAAGCTTCAGTGCCGTTTGAACAGTTGGGTAAATACAGCAGGGACATCTTGTTGCAACTGCACAGGCAAGACCACACCTGGTGTACTGTGTGCTGTTTTGTTCTCTTTATCTGAGCAAGGTGCTCTGGTTATTAAGTAAGTGCAAAGAATATTTACTAGACTGATTCTTGAGGTGGGACTGATGTAAGGGGCAAGATTGGATTGGTTAGAACCATTTTCACTGGTGTTTAGAAGCATAAGAGGGGAACTGATAGAAATCTATAGATTTCTAACAGGATTAATCAGGATGGATGCAACAAGGATGTTCTCAATGACCAGGGAGTCCAGAACTAGGGATCACAGTCTAAAGATAAGGGATAGGTCTTTTTGGACAGAGATGCGAAATGTCTCCATCTGAAGAGTGGTGAGCCTGTGGAATTCTCAGGAAATTGCAAGGCCAAAATATTGAAGACTGTTGATACAGATATAGTTCTTAGGACTAAAGGGATCAAAGGATATGGGGAGAAAGTGGGAACAGGGTGCCAAGTTGGATGATCAGCCATGGTCACATTGAATGGCAAAGCAGGCTCAAAAGGTAGAGGGGCTTATTCCTCATGTTGTCCACCAGCAGACAGCAATAACAAAAACCTTGTCCAATGTTCCTCCTCCCCAAAAAGAAACGTTGAGAAACTATTAGCCATAATGCTTTTAGCTAGGAGACAGAAGGCTGAGAGTCCATACTCCACTCCAGAAGCTTTTAACACAGATTTTATTTTGATATTTTATAAAGCTAGAGCAAGGTATGCTCCAGTATTAAAGAAACCTTCCTTCACACAAGATGTCAAATTGAAGGCCTCTGTCTGCTCAGGTGGGTGTGAAAGATCCTATACCACTACTTGAACAATAGAGGACCAGTAGTGCCTTCGACAATATTTATCCCTCATGTCAACATTAGAACAGGATTAACTGGTAGTTATCACATTGTTGTTTGTGGGGTCTTGCCGTGTGGTATTTGTTGCCTGCTTCCTTTATTGCAACAGTGAAATTGACTCTAGAGTACTTTGAGATGTCCCGAGGTCATAAAAAATGCTTTATGAATGCAAATGTTTCTGCGTATCTCATATGGAGTCTATAAATGAATAGGAAAGATCACATGAACAAAACCTGGGCAATCTACTCACTTGTTGTAAGCACCGGTGTTAAAGGACTGCTAGAATTCAAGAATTTCACAAATAAATAAATGTTTTGAGCAAAAGGACAAATACGTGATGGTCTATCCAACTAATAGTTTTATCCAGTTGCACCGATCTCCAACTGGTTTTCTTTCCCATCTTTCCTGAAAGCAATTAACCTGGTCGGACTTAAAGTTGCCATGTTTTGTGGTGAACATCAGACCATTCAACTGTAGTGTGCATCACAGACGGCTTTAGTTTTGCCCCTCTGTTCTTTTACCAGTGAGCTGTACCGGACGATCAAAGACAGGAAGTTTGAGTGGTTCCTCAATACTCAGGGGTATCACAGCCAATGGAGCATCTCCATGTCAGCAGGGGTTATCAGGTGTTGCAACACAAAGCAAGAACGGTGTTCTGTAAATTCCACAGCAAGCAGCTAACAATGGATCCATACTGGGATCAATACAGGGGGCGACTAGTACGTTAGGAAACTGATCTGAACACAAAATAGAAAACAGACCCGGAGCTGAACTGGCTGCATTGGAACACTTTTACAAATCCTTTTTCATAAAAAATCCAGATTGTCCACTGTGATGATGTGATCAGATGTTTTTCAAAGTGCAATTTGAAATGTTCACGTCAATTCCTTTATTATAAAATTTAATTTCCTATTTTTTATGGCAACAGCTACACACGGCATCTTTGCAAGCCTCGATTGTACAAAAAATGTCCTATATCTGAAATAAACTCTTCAAGAGCCTTCTCTCTCCATTAACAGCACAACTGACTCCATCTGAATTCTCCCACGTTTTCTCCTCAGCCTTATTTTGGGGATCTTGGGAATTAGCTGCAACAGCTTCAATGTTAAACAGTAAGGCAAGTGTTAAACAAGGCCAGCATTTAGAGAATCTAGATCAGAATGCCAGCCCAAATTCCAGCCTCCCACTGTTCCCAGCAGGAGTTGGGAATTGAGGCAGTCTGTTTTTTTTGTTTCTGCAGTAAATACACACATTGTACTTTAGAATCCAGAGACTAAAGCGGAGTTGAATGCAGCTTCCAGGAGACAAACAGTGAGCACAGAAGTGAACTGTTCCCTCGACTTCTAGCCTCTACTGAAACCTCAGTACTGAGGCAGAAAAAGAAGGGTTAAAGTTCAAGAGTTCTCAAGAGTCCAAGAGTACAATTTAGGAAGTCCCGTTCATTTTCTTTATCATTCCACGCTTTGAGAAAACAGCCTGCAGCTTTCCCAAGAACAGCATCCAAAGCGGGTGCCAATTTGCAATTAACATAATCACCTCCATAAAATGTTAAAATGACTAATCAGAGATCGGAGAGCTCATTTTACACAGTCTAACACATCAGGTGCCATTGCTATTACGATTGCCAGCACATAGCACACTAGCACTGAGGCATTCAGGGTAGGTCTTGAATGTTTTAATGCAATTTGGTCTTGCATGTTTTAAAGCTCTTCAACATTATCCTTGCAGGATCAAATCTCAGGATCCACTCACCCAACAGCAAACCCCATCGATTTTAATCACAGATTCATACTGTTCAAGGATACTGTTCATATGCGATTTTTCTACTTTACTGAAAGTACTTTAAATACAATTTCCCAGGAGTTACAAGATTTAAACTGTTCCAAAGTTCTCCTAACTGCGCTCCCGATTGTACCAGTTGCTAACTTGAATTTAACCAATATTTTGACAACAATGTCCTAACTCGCACCAAGTCAGGTTCATTAACCTACAGTGATTCCAATCCACTGACATTTGGGTTTTAAAAGTCTCCTCCTCTCTCCAATAACTCCATGACTTTTCCCCTCTCTAGCTCTATGTGTGCTCTGCTCCAGCTGTATATTTGTTTCCCCTCAACTTTGGCTTTGCAGAATCTTAATCATAACTGCTCCAACACTGGTATCTGCCTTTTCAGCTACTAAAGCACACAGTCCCATTGCCTATTTTGCTTCCAACTAACCTCTTTGATCAAGTTTTGGTCATCCATCCAATATCTCCTACGTGGCTTTGTGTCAAACTCTGTTTGACTGTGCTCCTGTGAAACAGTGTGTGTGTTTTATTGCATTATCAAATTTATAACCCATCCCTTCCCCATCACAGCATTCAACTGTTTATCCAATAACTTTCTATGTCATTCACTTCCACTGACCCAACCAGGAGACAATTCAACTTATTTATCACTGCAACAGGGAGGAATCCTGATATCAATCCAAAATTTGCTTTACTCCAATCGGAACCTCTGATCCTCCATCTATCATAATGACTCGGTTTCTAAGAATTATTTTTCAATACTATTTATTTATTCAATTTTATATTGAATTGCTATTACAAAATACTTGCAAATTCTGGTCTGCCAGTCTGTTGATTAGCTCCACTATGTTCCTGCACTCCTATGTGACTACACTCTTTTTAAGATTCTCTATCATGTTATTAATGAGACCCAGACGTTTTGAC